GAATGACGATGATGAACTCTGTTCGTGAAATAAAGCGCAGCTAAAAAATAGTGTTTTTATAATAAGAACGCTTGCCACTAACAAAATTTTAACGTTAAATGTCTGCATATTCATCTGTTTTTCAGCAATGCATTATTAAATTCGTTCATAATCTTCTTGGGAGACCCTGTATATGCCAGTTGAGGCTATAATGTGCACATAACATCAGGTTTCCTTTGGACAACGATTACTGAGAACTGTTTATTACCAGCTGCCAAAAATGTAATCGCTAGTGTGTTGATTTTAAAGCTATTTTCTATTATTCCTGCGAACGCGTTGCAAAGTCCAACGTCGTAGCTGGCCGTGGTAAGGAGTACCGAATTTGCCACGTTATAAAAACTTTCTCGCGCCGATAAAATTCCAATTAATAAATAATTCATACCAGGCAAATCGATCAAAGTGAACGTATTAAGAACTTGCTTATTTCTGAATTAAATAGGTCACATATTTGACGTCAGTTTCAGTAGAGGTTTTGATGAAGTCTTATCTCTCGAGTTCACTTTGAATAATTTTTAAGTTTCCTGTAGTTTCTTTCGATAATATGGTATAAGGGTTCGTTTTTCCTTTCTTTTTTTATTTCCTAAACTGACAGTTGAGCTTGCTATTTTATTATTTCTCTAGGAAAAAACACCAATTTACAATTGCAAGGCCTCTTGACGCCGTTAGGTACATAGATATTTTTTCGGACTTTAGAAAAGAACTGATTTTTCTAGAAAACTGTTAGCGACAAGTATGGACAACCTTATATCAGTGAAAGGGCATTCAATTTTGCATTCACCCATGACAATATGAGCCATTCCATTTTTGAAAAAAAAGTTTTTCAACTCGTAAGATTATTAAATGTAGGTCTCAGTATTTCCAAGTCTGAATAACGTACACGTTTTGCTCAGAGATGACAAGATAGAGTAATTCATGCCAAAACGAAAAGTGAAAACTGCAGGTTTCTAACTCTTTCGGTTTAGACGCTATCTAGCCTCGTTTAGAGAGCTAAAATCGTGATATGTTTAAAAAACAACTGATTATCTCGAAAAGGGTTAGTTAGAAAGTTTTAAACACCATGTATTTAATAAACTCTGCCCAATATTAACCAAGGAATTCAAAAACGCAATAATATACAGGGTGTTCCATTTAAAATAACAAAGTTATGTAGAGGCCACGCGAAATGGAACACCCTGTAAAGCTAAAAATATTTTCTTTACATGGCTCACGTGATTCCAGACAACTTTTATTAAAACCATTTTTTTTTATAAATTTTACAGTTAGACTTCCTCTTAAGCGGAACACCCTGTATTGTATATAAAAAAAAATATATAATCTTCGCGATAATTATAAAAGTAATAATTAATTTAAGTGCCTGTTTTGTAACAAGGCAAGAAAAATACAACTAACCAATGTTTATTATTGCAGGAACGGGGTCATTTAAAATTAGAACAATAAAGATATTTTAAAAATGCCCTGGCAATAACAGCTTTCAAGCTAAGTACGCAATTTTCGCCTTACGAATCTTTTTTTTTATTCTTTCGACTTCATCTATCAAAATAGTAAGTGATGTGTTAGGCGCAAATGTCATCCACAAATCAAACATAAAAAAATAGCGCAATTAGGATAACGCACAACAGATGGTGTTATTTTCCAGCACCAATTTTCAAGGCAGTTATTTTTTTCTCTTCAGCATTTCTTGTTGCTTCTGCTGGTGATAAGAATATATGCATTTTTCTCGGATTTGTCAGCAAATCGCTTTGTTGTTGTGAGGGTATTTGCTATGTCGGTTTCATTTGAGGTTTGATAATAACATGATGACTTGCTTTTGATATCTGGGTTTTTTTGCAACGGGAAGTGGTAGGGGTTATCGTCAAAGGAGAATCCTGTCGGTCTTCGACAAGTACCATATACATGACAGTGTTGTCTTTTAAAATAAGATACGACTATATTAAAATACAGCACAGTAAAATTATCCCATAAGCACCGTAAGATTTCTTTTAAAAGTTAGTTAAAATAACTTTGTTTTTTTTTTAAATTTATATGTGCAAAAGCTGCTGATATTGCGGGAAACAACAACTACTCTATGAACGATATGGCCCAACTAGTATTAATAAATAATTATCCAAAATAAAACCTTAAATCATTCAAAGAAATGTCCTGTATTCTTGCCGTGTATTATCACTCTTGACTAAGACAAAACAAATATTACTGCTGCTGCAAAAAGATGTTTTCTCATTTTACTTGAAATTGTTGTAAATATTAACATAAAAAATTATACATACTTAAACTGTAACCTTCGGGATCACTGTCAAACCACATTTCAAATAATTCCCGGCTATTTCTTTTCTCTTTTGGCATTTTACTTCACTTTTCCCCCAACTAATAGTTGTTAATGTAAATTATGTTACTATTTATAAATAGTTATTTAAATATACACGACTAATAGAATTTACAGTAGACAAAAAATAGTATCGACGCGCCAACAAATACTACAATGTTCCGTAAATAACTGAACAGTTCGAAACGCGAGTCAGCTGTGAAGGCCACCGACCTCGCGCCGGATCTGTTAGACTCTGCACGTGCACTAAGCCTACTGATTAGTATTTGTCAAAGGTGATAATAGAACAGCAAGAATACAGGATATTTCTCTGAATCATCGCATTATTTAACAATTTTAATCAGGTAAATGTTTTTGTATTAATCAGAGGTGTTTTCACTTTTTATTATCTAGATTTCTGATATCGAAGAACATTGTTCGACCTCAATTGATTACATTTTTTTTAAATGTTTTTGAATGTTTGAATTTGCTCAATTTCTTTAAAAAAAATTAGATAAACATTAACTTAAATTCCATTTCTGGCAGCGGACTTTTGAATTTCGGGCCTTTAGTGACATTAATATTTGTAACGAGGCTTCTTGTAACTGTTAACAAACAGAATTGCGCGCGTGTTAAGGTTGCGAAATGCGCCTTAACAAGTATTGTTCAAAATTGAGAATGCACGATATGCTTTCGTATTTTCTTTATACGAATATAATAATTTATCTCTGTATTGTTAAGCCAGACAAAAAAATTAAACGAAAGCTTTGATTGCGGAGACAATGGGTATAAAACGATTTGACGAACGAAATAAAAATGAATTTAGGCACTTATATTAATTTTCGAAACTCTTCATTGACTCGGAGAAAATTGTAAATGTAATTTTTTTTTTAAATTTACGTCACTGGCATGTTTGGAATTTTTTTGTTTTTCATTGCGTGGATATCTCGATGGATATATTTTTATTCAGCATTCAAGGCAAAGCATAACTATTTCTTCCTTAGAAGAACAAGTTTTTTTTCTTAACCCGCCTTCTTGTAGTAAACGTTGAATTCAACAGATCGTTGTGTATTTTGTATTGTATTTTTCAGTGTAAATATTCCCCAAAATTCTACTTATTGTAACTCGTATCCAGTTAAAACCACTTCCAAATATTTAATCTCAAAATCCATTGTTTGGCGTTCTAAAATACTTCTCTAATCCCCAATTTTATTGGAACAAAAAAAAAGAAACGCATATCCTAGTGATAAAAACGGTTTTAGCTCGAGATTTTTTCGTCTCTTGTTGATCTCTCGCGTGCCAAATGATAATTATAACATCACCTCATGATTTAAATCACTCATTTTTTATGGATATAATAAATGTATTTATCAAATTTTTATGTAATTATGAGCTTTAAATAATTGACTATTGTGAGCAATAAAAATATTATTAATTTGGACAGGGTCAATAAACGTTACATTTGTTGTGTTTACCTTGGGGAAGTTTGTTGTGTCAATAGTTATTTGTATTTACTTGCCTAATATTTATTGATTGATTGTGGTTAGAATAAAAACAAGTCAAAGTCAAAATAAATGTTTAGTTTACTCATATTCTTAATTTCCCTAGATCTAAGGCGAATTTGTTGTATATGCAACGTTGCTGAATAACAGAACCGTCTTTCCCTTTGTCTATATCGACAGAATCAATTCAGTAAACGATATAAATGTTATTTATATGGCTGTTGAAAGTAAATATTGAATTTTTCACATTTTTTGAAAAGTTTCCTGTGCTAAATTGTTGGAAGTGGCAATATTACTCAATTACGAACCCAATTCTTATTTCCTTTTGAGAATTTTCCCTTAATGTCACGCTAAATTATTAGACGTGGCAACATGGCTCGATTACGAATTCAATTCTTATTCCCTTTTGTGGATTTTCCCTAAATGTCACGCCAAATTATTAGACGTGGCGACATTGCTCGTTTATTCTTATTTTGTTTTCGCTAAATTTAGTGCTAAATTGTTAAATATTTCATTACAGAATCCGCGGTTTTGCGTTTTTAAACCTGATCTCCAATTTTATTGGAACAAAATGAAAAAACGCATGTCCTAGCTATAAAAACGGTTTCAGTTGGGATTTTTCATCTCTTGTTGATCTCTTACGTGCCAAATGGTAATATTAACACCATGTCGGGTTCTAAATCATTCATTTTGGAAAGAAATCGGTGGTATTTACTCGAGGTGTTTATTTTTGATAGAACAAGTGTATTTATCAAAGTTTATGTAATTATGAACTTTAAATAACTGATTATTGCGAACGATAGAAATGTTATTCATTTAGCCAGGGTCAATAAACATTACACTTTTGTCATGCTTGTGAGAAATTTGTTTTGTCAACAGTTTTTTTTTTCTACTTGCCTAATATTTAATCATTGATTATGGTTAGAATGAACAGTAGAGATAAATATGTAGCTGATTTATTTTTGCTTTGAGTTTTCTCACATCCTCGATTTCTGCAAATCTAAGGCAAATGTCACAACGTTGCACGATCAGTAAAAGACAGGAACGTTTTTCCTTTTGAAAATTTTCCCTAAATCCAGTGCCCAATTAGACGTGGCAACATCGCAAGAGTGCGATGAGTCGCGGCAATTAGTGTAATGTGTTTTTCGTTTGTTTCGCAGGCGTGGCCGACGGCGTGGGAGGTTGGAGGGCTTACGGCATCGACCCGGGGGAGTTTTCCCTACACCTGATGAAGACCTGCGAGCGGTTGGTCAAGTTGGGACGATTCACGCCGACCAACCCGTCGGATCTTCTAGCCAAAAGTTACTACGAGCTGCTACACCATAAGAAAGCTATTCTAGGTGAGTGAAAGGGGTCTTCTTTGACTACATAGATCGTAATTTCTGTGTCTGTAGTGTGAAATTAGAGCAAAGTCATAATAATGTGACTTTCTTCACAGAGTTGCCAAGTTGTGTAAAATTTCCGTAGTTCTTAAGAAATTTTGATAAACTTTATTTTAGGTAGAATAAGTGAATTTTTATATTTGTTCGGGGGCCGTCTTTGATCTTTGAAAATATAAGTTTATTTTTTCAATTCGTCGTCAAACCTGTTTTTTTAAATCTTTTTTGTCAAATATCACTTATGTTGATTCGTATAAATTTTTATTCGTAATATAACATTAGAAATTTAGCAATGAAGACACACAAACACACCTTAACTTCACTTAACAGTAAAATAAATACACTTACGCTATACTTTAGCAACGCTAAATTTTATTATAATAAAAATACCACCACACTACAAATTCTATTTCCACTCAAGTTTAGCGTAGCGCCATGTTGTCATATCACATCAGGTGTATTGATGTTATATAGTTCACCTAAACTAGGTCATTTTTCACAGGGCATTGACACTGAAATTGACAAACTAAACACAATGCTTTAAAAGAAATTGTAACAAATAAATTTTCACTTAATTTAAAATGTATTATCTAATTCAATTAAATTCATATTTTTCTATCCTATAAAATTAAGTTAATTTTCAATTTATTTGAAGGACTGTCCATTTAGATCATAAACTGAAAACCCTGCGCGCGAGATCTTTGGCTTGAACGTTTCTTTTTTTCTTAAATTACTGTAAAAATAAGCTCTATTTAATGCAAAAAGAGCGAATACCCGAGCGGCTTTTGCCTGACCTTGGGACAATTTATTTATAACGCTGTTTTGCACATCCTACTTTATTAGTGGTCAATCGAATCTGCCTTTGGCACATAAGGTGGTCATTGTATGGACCGTTTCTTCCATAAATTTCATCAATATCCATTGATTTTTGCAATAATAATGCGCAATTTTCGAAAACTGATTTTTCCGCGTTCGACCTTTATTTTACACTTAACAAATTGGTGAAATATGACTTTAGATACCTTAAATTGTAGGTAATTTAATTGCCTACAACATAAAATAACTGATTCTCCGATTGGTCGTCTAGATTTTCATGGGTAGTAAAAAATGCCAACTTAGCATCACTTCCTTCGAGTTAGTTTTTTGATATTATCATTCTACATACCTTTCACTGTCATAAAATGCAGTAAAATGTCTACTAATAATTTTTTCACGTTCAAACTCTGATTTGACTATTTCGGCTACATTTCTGTTTATAATATTCATTCATAGATATTTATCAGTAATACCAAAGTGAAAAAATGATAACTTCCTTACTGGGAACTTCAGAAATAAGAACTTCTGTCAGCAGTGCCAACAACGGCCAATAATACCGGCTGATCTCGTTGTATCGACAATTCGTGCCCTGAAATTGTTTCTCTATTTGAATCATAGAATCATTGCTAGTAAGGCAATTCCAATGTACAAATTTTCACAAACTTCGTCGTCATATATTTTGTACCTCTTTTTTAATAGAAAATCAAAAATTGACGAAGTATGCGTTTGATATTATCATTCTACATACCTTTCACCGTCATAAAATGCAGTAAAATGTCTACTAATAATTTTTTCACGTTCAAACTCTGATTAGACTGTTTCGACTACATTTCTATTTATAATATTCATTCATAGATAATTCATCAGTAATACCAAAGTGAAAAATTGATAACTTCCTTACTGGGAACTTCAGAAATAAGAACTTCTGTCAGCAGTGCCAACAACGGCCAATAATACCGGCTGATCTCGTTGTATCGACAATTCGTGCGCTGAAATTGTTTGTCTATTTGAATCATAGAATCATTGCTAGTAAGGCAATTCCAATGTACAAATTTTCACTTCGTCGTCATATATTTTGTACCTCTTTTTTAATAGAAAATCAAAAATTGACGAAGTATGTGTTTGATATTTTACTTAGATCTTTAGAAACGTTAAAAAATCGGAAACGACGCAATTTTTATATGAATCGTTCAGGACAGGTGATAAATTGAGTAATTGATTTAAAGTTTGTGGCAACATCTCTTTAACTACGATTTTACGATTCCGACAATTGTAGCCGCGTTAAAAAGAATCGTTTCTTGGATTTTTTGAGAGAAAAAAAAAGTTCTTTGGTTTTACACGGTGTACTTACATCTTATACGTATTACACGCTGATTATTATTATTTTTTTGGTCGTTTTATAACCTTTCCTTATATTGCGTAAAGTTACAAAACCATTACATTAGAAAGTACGCGTACTGCGGCTGTCGAAAAAAAAAAACGTTCGTTGGCTAATGAAACCTCGTCCTCGCTTCATTAAATATCGACCGGGGACGACAAAAATAGTATGTTTTCTTCAATACAGATCAGGATCAGACACATGTATGTAATTGGGTGTTTGCTGAATCCTTGTGTTTCTAATAAGGGACAATTTATTAAATATTCTTAAATCCTCTAATGTCAACTTGGCTTTTTTAAATTCTTTTTCACAAGTTTATGTAAAATATTTAATACGCAGCCACTTTTTGATTTTTCGCTTGTTGCGTGCAAGAAAAGTTTACAATATATCTCATACTTTATTTGAAAGCTAATTCAAATAAAACAAAAGTTGTATAAATTAAAGAAAACATGTTGTTCTTCGATACCAGAAATCTATATATGCAAAATATATACAATCCCACAGACAAGATGGCGGGAAACAACTACTATCGATCATCATGAGCAATTGATGGAACGTATCAGAGTCGACGTTCAATCCCACTTCTTGATGCGTCCACAGAGATCCTGTAGCGAAATCCGCCTTAAGTTTCATTTTATATTGCGGTTCCCCAGTTCGAACTACGGAAGTTTTATTTTCCGAAATCCGAAACTTTCGCGGAAATTTTAGTCTAAAATGAAAATAATGAAAATAATTCCGCGCCTTCTGCTTTCCATAGAAAATCCCCTCAGGCATGGGTCTCTACTTTCGCCGGAATTAGCCCTGCGACACTATTCCATGTGTTACCGAGTAGTATTGAATTATACCTTAGAAATTTATTGGTTGTTGTTGGTACTGCCCACTTAGAAACACAATAAGACATGACTGAATTACCAGTATTAATATAAAAGTTTCTACTTCACAACCGTCAATTAAAAAGTATTTTATGCCTACATAATAAATAGATGAGACTTTGTCCACAAGAAAAAAAAATTGTAACATTTTCTTCAGCCATATGCAAAACAGTGAAATTTGGATTGCTGTGATCGGATCATTGTTTTGATGTTACGCAGTCAAAATTTGTAAGTTTTTGCATTCTTTTTACGTGCCCCTCAACTATTTTACTTATCATTTCTTAGAAATCTGCTGGTCGTTGTTGATACTGCCAATATAGTAACAAAATGATTGAATTGTCATTATTAATGTAATAAAAGTTTATAGCTCTGAAACTTCCAGTAAAAAATATTGCATGTTAACACGGTAAATAGATAAAGAATTTGTCTTCCGAAACTAAACAAGAAAGTAAAAAAAAATGTCTGACATTTTTTTCAAAGTTGCAAAACATGGTGAAGCTTGTATTGCTTCCATTTTAAATTCGGATTGTTATTTTGATGTGCCATAGGCGAAATTTGTAAAAGTTCTTGCATTTTTTTGACGTGAGCATCAACTATTTTTCTTATCGTTCCTCTGTGTTCACGTATCAAATTAAGCGATTGTTTTGTCTTTGTAGTACGGGCAACGTTTTCTGTTGTGGCTTATAGACACGTCGACACGTTTTGAATAGCCGTTTTTAAGTAAACAACGACTTCGAAATTGTAGTTTGTCTAGTGTCCCACCTAGCGGGTGTTTTGAAATTCGTACTCGCCAAAAGCGTAACAAGGCCAAAAAAGTTTGTCTCAAAAATAATGATCTTGAATTGAAAACGTGTTAGCTATTTTTTTACGCCCTGTATTTTATCCCAAAGCGGAAGGAATCTATTATAAAAACTTCGCGACGTACTCATTTGTTTGTCCTCCGGGTTGGCTGGAAATTAATTATGTCCGCAAATTTTGTTTAATTTCCTATGATGTATCCTCAAATAAAATTTCCTGTTATGGTTTCAGTGATATAATTTTTGTATGTGCAAGCAAAATCATAAGTGTCCATTCTTGAATACAAAAGCAACCTAGAACTAAAAGTAACATTGTCCAACAGTTGCAGTTTTGTGGGTGTGTGACAGGTTGGGTTTTAGTGACTAAAATCAAATCTCAATCGCTAGCTAGTCACTATTTTTTTACGTCGGGGATTACCTCTAATATGGGGAGAACCGGCATGATGCAAGGCCAGACCAGGTCGACGTTCAATCTCATGCCTTGATTAGTCCGCACAGGGTCCTGTAGCGGAGCCCGCTTTAGCTTTGAACAATTGGGAATCGATGATGGCCGACTTCGTTTCTTTTTCATTAAAAAAATGCAACTCTTGGACAAAACGTCGTATATCACACGTGAGATCGAATTGCCGTTATAACCATCTGAGAATTTTCTCCTTTTCTGTCATTAACGGTAATGTAACTCCACTCTTTGTTGATTAAATTAATTCGAGACAAGATACATCCAAAATATTATGTAGTATGTTTTGAAAAGGTATAGAATAAGCTATAATCGTGACTTCGGTTGATTTTCTTATTATTCATAGGAATGATGCTAATCTCTACGCATTAATTTAATATTCTTTAGGCATGCAAATATTGCGTTTCAAAATAACATTAAATCGGACTATAAGCGGTTCTCCTAAAACATTTTCCCGGGAAAAGTTGCATCAGTAGGTAACATCGTCTGCTGCAATCGAAATACGAACATTTGTTATTGCAGTTTGATATTAAATTGGATTTAACGCAAAAACAAATTACACAAGATTTGCAAAATAGCCGCTTTCAAATTGCACCAAATAGCTGTGTAACAATGAATAAATGATAGATCGTTGCGACTAA